CTACAGGCTTCAGCTCGGCTTCATTAACATACAGCTGTAGAGTGACACCCTCCTCCTCCTCCGCCTCCAAAAAGCCACACATCCACTTTCATCTCCAGCCGTTATCCAGCCGTGTGATTGGTCACGCTGCTGCAGAGTCACTGAGGGGAGAGTTCAGACTTGGTTACAGTTGGCACACTATGGAGGAGATGTTGTTGTTGTCACATTTTATTCATATTAAACTACTTACTACTCCCTGTAAGTCAAAGAGTATTTCCATATTTAAAATCAGCATCAAATAAAGTGTTTAGTGACTAAACTAGACCATGATATTAGTGGTATGGGTACGGTGCATTTACTGGTGGCAGTGGAACAACGGCGTAAGAGACAAAACTACAACAAAAAATGCAAGACATCCACGGGGACTTGAAACTATGCAAAAACCACCACACAAAGATGTAAAACACCCACAAAGAGGTGCAAAATGTCCTCAAAGAGAGACAAACGGAAAGGGACTCTTTCACTGGGGCCTTTACATGTCTATGCTCTGGGACCCGCTGATGTAGTAGTACTCGCCTGGAAACACACTGTGGTGCATAAAGTCTGTGGACTTGCCCTTTAATTATACTAAACACCCTCTGCAATGTTTTCGGCCTAGCAGCACTAGTGTGAGTGCGTCAGTTAAACTTAAAAACACAGGTAACAGGGTTCAGACCTCGTTCATTTGGTTCTGTCCCAGTTGTCTGGGGCAGGCGAACATGGGCAGCAGGTTTTGGTTGAAGGTCAGATATTTGATCACACTGCTTCCCAGACCCTCTGGACTCTCAGCATCCTGCAGGCAAACAAAGATGGACAACGACAACTACACAATCTGCTCCAACACAGCAACAAGCTAAGTGGCTTTACGTATGATAGACAACATGCTGCACTGTTATTACAGTAATATGCTTTGTGGTTTGATTAGAATCAGTGTGTGTTGAAATTTGAACCCGTTTCCACCTGGTTAGACTATTGAGAATGTTATGGAATTTTATATTTATTCAATAGATATTCAAACCTGATTCTGCCATTCTTCCATAGATACAGCTGTAACTTTTGTAAATATGAAAGAAAGAAAGGATTTTCGATTTGAAAGTGAAAGCACAAACCTTGTGTTCAGTGGAGGTGATCTGCTGAAGCTCCTGCTCGAAGTCGGAGAATCTGTCGTGGTAAATGGCCAAACACCAGCTCTGTCTGAAGAAACTGCAGGGGAACAACACACAGCCTGATCTGTATGTGGTCAATGTGCCAGCGTTCTGTCATTCATAGATCACTTTTTTGTTAATGTTCCTCTCGACTCCGTTAAGACAAACCCACGGCTGTGACAGAGCGAGTCACGGGACACGTGAGACCTGACAGTGATGTGTAATGAGGCCAGAGTTTTCTAACTACAGCATGAACATTCTCCAACGGTCATGTTTCACCCAGTGACACCCAGACTGTCGTGACTGGTTGGCCCGGTAACAATGTCCTGTGTCGGTACATCGTAACCTTGTGCATGCCTCCTTGTTAATTTGACTATGTGCAGTTCAGATTTGTGCTGTGTTGAGAGTGTTACGTTACTACTGTAGGTCCGACCTAGTCAGATTTCTGTTGCGACTTTTACAGAAAAGTGACCAGGTGCTCATTCACACATGAAGTTGTTCAGATGCCGTCAAAGTAAAGGAAAGGAAAGTCTGAAAGGGGCTTTAGTGAAACCTGGAAGCAAACACACACACACCAGAAGCTACACTAACTGGTTGGGGGATAACCCCCACCCCACCACACGGTCAGTCAATTATTTTAATTACTTTACGTCTCATGCTGCTTCTTTAGACTCCACAATGACTTTACGAGTCAGCAGAGTGAGCGGCGTCACAAGGAAATAGCCTCGCTTTGTCTCGACCTCCACCGGCCAGAGACAGATTGGGGAACTGCATAAACAGATTAGGAGGCGGGGGACAATAGCAGTCCATGTCTGGGGGGTCATTTGTGCCAAAACCTCAAAAGCAGGTCACCCGCTGTTTGACAAACACACACAAACGGCACCAGCAAACACAAACAGCATGAAGACAAAAGGCACTGAAGGTCTAAATCTCTCTCGCCTGTTCAGACCACTTGTGTTGTTTTGACTTGTAAGAGAAGCTTCGCTGCCTGTACTTTGTGTCTCTGACTCAGATCAACTTCAGAAACAGTGAAAGTGGTTTCTTTTCATACATGACATATGGAAATAGCTCCTTTAAAAAACCTGACCACCTGCTGTGTGCCATGTTACGGCATCATCCAGTGGCTGACAGTGTGTAAACCTAATAATACTCCTACAGGGGCGGGATGAAAATAATAGAAGCCTTGTATAAAACTGTAACAATGAAGAAAATATGAATTTGCTGTCAACAAACTAAAAGACATATGATTCAGCAGACTACTTACGTCTGCAGGTCTATTGTACTGCAAGTCATGTTGTTCTGTTTGTTTACCTCACGCATTACTGACGCTATACAAGACTTCAACAAGAGACAAAATAACACTAGTAGAAGTGTGTGATGTATAATGGAATAATGACTTTCTGGTTCAACTTTGACCCACTCTGTTTATTTACTGTCACTGTGTGGGTCTATCACCAACATTTCAGGTGCACTCACTTTCAGTCTGACCTCCAAAGAAAATGGCTGTGATATTCTGGATGAACCATTGGCTTGTTTACAGTCTAATTGTGTTTCATGTTTTCTGTCCTGTGGAACATTTTAACAGGGAGGAATGCCACATTAATAATCAACAAGTAAAGCATTAGCAATTTATGAGCTACAGTGGGGTTTCACTGTAAAATCAAATGGAAACTGGGAACTTAAAGGACAGATTAAGTTATCACAAAGTTACATGAGTTCTAAACTGAACTCAGCATAATGAGTTTGTCACTGTTCATCAACTGGCCACAGAAAATCCAAAGTATTCATCACAGCAAACACTCTGCTGCACAACTTCCAGGCTTCACCGGAGAACAGACAGGAGAGCAGCGTGGACATGCTGGACATATCCAATCCAGGGTGTGACCCATTTGTCCTTCACCAAAAGGTCGAGCCTGTCAGGGTTCTGTCCTACCGATTCCTGTTTTAGGCTCTTATTTTGTCGCCATTTCCTGTTCTAGGTTTATCTGTTATGGTTTCTTTACAGTAATCAGTGCTAATTGCCTGCACCTGTTTTCACCCCAATATAAGCAGTCTTCTCCCATCAGTCACCTGCCAGATTGTTCTTGTTTTCGTGCAGACTTTCCAGCGTTATCCTTGCTTTAGTGATTCATGTTATTGACCCCGGATTGTTTCCTGACTACCAATTTCTGCCTAGCCCTCCTGAGTGTTGAATGTTTCTTCTGTGTACTGACTACTGGACCAGCTTCTTGACCTCCCGTTTTTGGATCCCTTGGCTGTGCTCGTTTGCCGGTATTGACCCTGGACTGTTGTTTGACGTGGATATTGGATTCTGGACTATCACTGTGTATTTTCTGAGTGAATATAGTAAAACAATATCCTTTACCCCATCTCGCCTGGATTTGTAATTGAGTCTGCTGTTAACATTGTGGGTAGCTTTACTGGCTGACCCTGACAGAGCCTTCACCAGTAAATAACCTGTAACATTAACCTGAACAAACATGAAACAGACTCCCCACAGCAGACTGGTTTTACTGGTTTTCTATAAGATAATATGCATATCTATGCTATCACAGGAGTGGCTTGTGTGTTCACTGTAACTAACATTAGTCCAGCTGCTGGATACAGCTGCTCAGCTGGGGCAGATGTGCCAGGGGTGCACACGTAGTGTCGCACCAGTCCAGAAAATCTCTCAGCTCAGAGCAGGGCTCGTCTGTGTTGGTTACTGAAGCTTGTTTGATCAGAGTACTGTCTGTCCTGAACATCAGCAGCTTAGCTACAGTGGTGCTCTCTGTTGTCTGACACTCAGTGCTGTCTTAACTGATAAATGGTGGACAGAAAACAGCAATATCCTTTAAAGCTTTACTGGGTTGCACTGTGCAAATAATGAAATATAATATAGATATTCCTCCTTCACAACCTCTGTGATGAAGAAGTAATCTTTGTCCCACCTGTACAGGTCAAGGATCAGGCCCTGGTGGTAGCGGGTCAACAGCTGGCCCAGCAGCTGCTGGTGTTTCCCGTACAGACTCAGGTAATTTGAGACAGGCAGGGGCTTTATGGAGAAGCAGGTGATCGTCTCCACCAGCTCGTTGCAGTCAAGGTGCAAACAGAAGTAGTCCCCTGTCTCCACTCGTCCGGTCACAATCCCTCTGTCCTGTAACTTCAATTCAATTTTCAAATCATGTGCATGAACACACAAGTTAGTGAGACACCTGTTGTTTCAGAATAATCTACCAGAGTCAAATTCCTCGTGTGTCCAACACACCTGGCCAATAAAACTGATTCTGATTCTATCATTGTGAAACTACCTATGTCCTTGACTACGTCCTATTAGAGACAAATTAAAAGATACAACTGCAATTTTCTATATTTTTGTTGCTGTTCACAAATCCAGTGAAAAGACAAGAACTATACACTGGTCCATTCATTTCTAATTTCCTTGCCCTGGTCTCTCAGCAACTCAAAAAAAAATATATATAGTATATTTGAATTTTAAAAAGGACACTAGTTTGATCAAACAGGAGGAAATAGTGCATTTTTTGGGGACTATTTTCAGCATCGGATTAATCCACATTCGGTGTCTAGTTGTAAAGTTTAGGTTTCTGTGAACAGGTCATATGAAGTGTGGCGTCTGATTTGCTCTTCTGTACATGTGGGTCAGTTCAGAAGAAATCAACTGTGACTGCTGTTTTAAGCCTTAAACCAGAGAAACAAACACTCATGGACATGTTGGGCAGTAAAAACATACAGGTTTAACTGGAGGGCCTGTCAAGTTGGCAGCCGACGGTTTGGTAACGTGCAGGTAGTTATATCCTCCAGGCAACTTCCCACCTGAGGAAAGATGGAAAACACATGATGTAGGTGAGGTGGCTCATTTAATTCACATTGTAATAGAATAAAGGAATCCATCAGTGAATGAATAAGCGGGTCTGTGAAGTTAGAGTTGTTTAAATTGTTTGACCTTCAAATTATTTGGCAGTTATTACTGACAAACTGTATGATTGTCCAGGGGTCTGCCACGCTGTCAGTGTAAGGATTAGCCAACTGTCTCTGTTTTGTATCTTAGTAAATAAATGATATGAACTGTCGGTCAGATAAAAAAGGAAACATAAGATGTTATCTTGTAGGCTGAACGAATAAACATAATTAATTGTTATCTGCAACCCTGCCTGACAATAATAACAGAATAGCACAGTGGCAGAGAAAATAAAACACTTAGAAAACATCATGGTTAAAAATACCAATCATGGGGTCAGTGTTAAGAGAAGGTGCTTTTATCAGAAGAACATATTCAAACAAGATTAGTTTCAGTGCTGAAACGTGCACTGGCACCACAACTGGGACAATAGCAGCAACAACATTAGTATCCACCCACAGGGGAAAACAGAGTTGAGGCAATGAACTCAGATAGCAGAAGGTGACATGGCTTCTCTGCTCTCCTGAACACTGAAATCCCTCTGAAAAGTTCATGCATGTTTCATATCTGTGAGAAGGGCGAAGCAGAGTGGCTGTTGTGTTTTATGTAACATGTGGAGTGGGCTCGGCAGCTCTGTGAATACGCAGCAGCACAATACAGCATTGTTACACCCTGCTGTGGTTTGAGTGTCTGTCACAATAACATCGGCTGTGGGCGGGTGGGTGAAAGATTGGAGAATGTTTCACAAAAGCTTAATGAAAAAATACTGGCAGTCGAATTCTCTCAGATAAGAGCAGATGAAAACAGAGATGGACAGGAGCAAGGACACAGAGGAGAGCAGTGAGATAAACTGACAAAGCCTGGAAAAAATATGGAAACCTGAGATCTGCTGATGAATGTGAAGGAATGTTGTGTTTGTTTTCTTTGTCATGATAACCCTACTAAACTTGTATGCATGCATTATGATTTTTAAGTCAAATGAGTGTTTGTACCCAAGAAAAAAATCTAAATATGAGATATTCGCTCATATAGTAACAAATCTTTCACACTGGTCCTGAAATATTTGGAGACATAGTGAACAGTTGGAAAACATGATGTCTCCTCAACAAAGCTAAAAGAATTAAAACTCGTCTCTGTCATTTAAGCTGAGGAACATAAAGAAGAACATGAAGACACCATTAGTCACACCCAAAATAAATCGAAAAGGTATTCAAATTATATAAGTCAGTTATAATTTATGCTTAAAAGCTGCTCCAGTTGTAGAACTCAACCCTTAAAACTCTCTAAATATATTCTTCTAGAATTTCAAGAATCCAAGTGACTAAACCACAAGTTGAAGTCAGACCTTCAATCTTAGCCTGTTTGTAAAGCGGCACGAGATGATCCCTGTCAGGCGTGTCTGGGGGCTCCAGTGTTGGGTCGAAGAGGGGCAGCAACATGGCCGCCAGGTCCTGGCCCACCTCCTTGGAGTTGAAATCGGCATGCGTCCACTCATCCATGTAGTAACGATGAGAGAATCTAGTTAGAGGCCCTGCAGCAAAAACGGCTGAATCGCTGGTGTGAAAAGTGGCATTTATCACTAGGCGACTATCAAAGGCCATGAAGGAGCTGTGGATGCTCTTAAAGGCGTCGTAGTCCACTCCTTTATTGGAGAGGTTGATGAACACCTGAAAAGAGAAACAGATAAATATCTATGTTTTCTGTCTTCCTGAGATTTCATGATCAAAATTGACACCTCTCTCACATACAGTATTTGAAGGTACAGCTAAGAAACTGTTAACTGAGCATAAAGACTGGAAACAGGGCAAACAGCAAATGTAAAAAAAGCCACCCACCAGCAGCACCTTTAAATCTCACAAATTAACATGTCATTTATTTAATTTAGTACACAAAGTGTAGCAACAGCAAATATTGGTTTTGCTGGGAGAAATGTGCTGGACTACCTTATCTGCACCATCATTTACGTTTTTGTGCAGCTTAAGAGATTTAGCGTGCATATTTCCCAAAATGTCCAACTATGCCATGAAAAGACTTTCTGGCACTGAAACACATTAGGGCTCATTTAAGATCAAACCAGCCCATGTCAAATTCAGTATGTCACTGATGAAATGAAACCGAGGATGAGATGTCATTTGCTCTGTTAATAAACTGTAGATGTTCAGTCTTTTACACAGCTTTTAAATAATTGAGATTTTCAGCTAAGAGGTGTTCAGAATCATGAAGACTGTGTGATACGGTCGAACAAGTGAGTAAGAGGACCTTGAACTGAGACGGTTTTGCCAGCTGGGCTTTGTTTTCAAAAGCCAGAAGAAAGAGATCAACAACATGCTACAATATGCTCTTTGAGCAAAATGAAACACTGTCATTACACTCACTGGGATAAAGCTGTAATTTGTAAGAAAAGGTAAACCCAGTGGAGTTTTCCTTGTAATAATAGTTATTTTACATTCACTGTTTCACACCTAAATACACTGTGAGTATCCTTGAGGACTGACAAATGTGCTGATAGTTTCTTCTTCAAAAAACTTGTAAAGCACAATTTTTGCATATTTTGGAACCTGCAGCATCTCAGCATCTCAAGCTAGACGCCCTGGCCAGGAAGGCACCGTCTGCAGAATGTTCTGTGTCTGCAGAAAATCTTCTTGCGTAGAAACTAATAACTGGCTGGGTGAGCAGTGAACTCATCCAGGGGAAGGTCTGGCTGGTGTAAGAAGACTTACTCCACACAGCAGGTGGAGAGGCTCTGTGTCAGTGGTGAATGATGCTGATGTGAGAGGATCGGGGTGTTCGCCGTTGTTCATCTGGGCCAGCACACAGTTGTGGTGGACCTTGACCTCAGCCTTCTCCAGGGCCATCACCACGGCTTTCTCCACTGTGGGGTCACTGAAGCAGGAGATGCCAGGGTCAGGAGGTGGGAGAACTAGATGGATACGAGATCCATGGATTCCAAGGCTGAGCAAGGTCTCCACAGTGGTGAAGACGTCGATGCTGTTTCCATAGACAATGGCATTATCTGGAAATCCACAAAGACCTGACAGTTAGCATTCCATAGCATCTCTGAGTGTCCTTAACATTTATCCAAAAATGAAAGTTCAGTCAGGGACACTTATGTCAAAGGATTGACAATTTAGTGCAAATGGTTTCACTAAAAAAACGGCCATGCTCTAATTTCAATGACTATGCATGCAAAGTTTATTTTTATTATATTTTGTTTTATTTTTCCTGTATAATGAGTGTGAGTATGTGCTGTATTTTGGCATCTAAATCTTATCTGTTCCTCCAACTGGACCCCTTCCCCTTTAGTTGTGATGATCTTTAAGTAAACAGCGTTCACATTATAAAATGATCGCCAAAGTGATGCCGGATTATGTCACATTACAGAATAATTTCATTTTGGTCAAAGCCACCCATGGTGCTGGTCCCCGCTGACTAAATGCCTGCTCCCCCATTTGTATTTATTTCCCACACGGTGAAAATGTCTGTGTGAACCAGTCTCAGTGCTGCTGTTCAGTGTCTCTGTCCATGGTGCTGAACAAGAAGAGCGCCGCTGCTACTGACCCATCAAGGCCACCAGAACACCAAGCACCACATCTATATTCCACCTCTCACTTCAGTCTTTCTACTACTAGAACTACACAAGTAAACAAGTCTTTGTAATGTCCACAAAAACTGGGAATTCATTCTCAGAAAGTTAAGACACTTTGCTCAGTTACAGCAGAAACATTTTAAAGGCACAGAGTCCTGAGGGAGACCGGTGTGTGGTCAGTGCCATTATAGTCACTAGAATAAAGGCTTATTTTTCTTTAATAAAGAGCAGCCCTGGCTGCTTCCTACTGACAAGGATTATGTCTCACATCTTCTTCCTCTGTGTCACAGAGCTCCATTGTTGTCCAGAGTGTGACCACACTGTTGCACTTTGCTGACATGTTCCTTCATCACCATGAACACACACACTGTCATTTAAATCTCACATACTCCCTTCAGCTGACACAAATACTCACTGGAGACCAAATGTGGATTCATCCACCACTGAAAATAGTCCCCAACACAATGTTTGATTTTTGCTTGCTAAAAATGTTCAGGAGGAACCAGTTAGGAACCAGCAGCCTGGAGAGCCACAATCAAAGTTAGAAGGTAACTCAAAGATGGACTAGCACACTCTTGGTTTTGGTATTTTCATGAGATTTGTTGTCAACAAGAAAACTATCCTTTAAAGTATGTGGTAAGAAACAGAAACAGCTGCACTCTACTTTTGCTTAATGCTAAAATTTACATTTGTTTCCTTTTGCTGTTATTATTAAAATATGGAAATAAACATGGTATCTGCAGGAGTCTGGGTTTGCAATTTGCATTTTTTAATGGGTTTCTTTTACGATTGGGATCGACTAATTAGTATGTATAAAGCCTCACTCTAGATCACTGCACAATTCCTTGAGAGAGCAGATTAATTTTGCTTAATGGCACTGTGTATTTTTTCCAGCTCTGAATAGCCTGGCTCTCAGAAAGTGATATGATAATGGAAAATGGATGGAAGAGGCCGACCTGATTCACAGAGATGAAAGATTTCTCTACAGCTAATTAGCTGCTAATTATACCCCTGCACTTCAGCGCTGACTGGTTGAGTAATGACATACTACTGTGGATTAATTTTGGGTTGTGTGTATGTGAGTGGTTGTGCATATGGGGGAGGTATTCACTTACCCTCCAGCTTCACAAAGTTGGCACACAGCCAGTGGCGAGCAGTCACGCAGTCATGGAGGTCATTGAGGGTGAAGAGGTTAGAGGGGATGGGCCCTGTGTATCTGCGGCGAGAGGACTGAGCGTGCAGCTGGCTGTTTGTGACTGGCTGGCTCACATCCACACCGGTGGGACAGGGCATCTAGAGCATCACATGACCCAAGCTGACCAGTTAGATCAAGTGCTATTAATAAAGTACATTTTAGATAACGTTACTCAAACCTCCTTAACTCTGGGTCTTGATACAATCAGGAGCTAGACATAACAGCCCTCTGAGATTCATCAGATGTTTTTATTTCTGTCAGACTGTAATATATGAACTGACAGTAGTGTCAGTCTTCAGTTTTAAAATCACTGACCAGGGTAACAGTCAAGTCAATTTTATTTATATAGCCCACCATCACAATTTATGACACCAGTGGTGGGTGAAGCACTGAGCAAGCTGAGCACAGCAGCTGTGTTCACTGCTGCTGGCTGACATGTACAGTACACCAGTGTAAAGAGGAAGACATTCACCGTGTGCTATGCATCCGTTGCATTTGGAATCACTATAGTAGTGAATATTTAGATGAGGGTACTGACAACTCACCTTGTTTACAAAGTGGGATGTATTTCCATATTTCAAATACTACGGGGTACTTGTGTTGTGTTCTTTGTATTATTTGTTAGCTTGTCTCACCTGGTACTGCAGGCCTGTACAGAGGATGAGGTGATCGTAGGCCACCTTCCCAAAACCAGACACTAGGACATGTCTGGACTCTCTGTTG